TGTTAAGGACACGGCCTAAGTTGACTGATTCATTGTTTTTGTCATGTTGTTTGGTGTGACTTGTTTCATGTTCTGTTTGGTTTTGGGTTTGTTTTTTTCTTGGATTGTATGCTGCTGTTATGAAATGGTTCCTCATAAATGAATGACTAGATACGGCATATGTTGCTTTGTGATCGTTGGGTTAAAGCCGTGTACATTTTGGAATGGAAAATAAACGTGTTGATGGAGGCTGTGTATCTACACGTACATAGCTTGCATTGGGATAATTCCAGAAATTAGGCGTCCGTTTTTTTGTGTCCCTGTCACATCTGACATGATTTTGTAAACTCAGAACACATTTTCTTATTTCCAAGAGTGATAAATTAATGCAAATTACCTGCCAAACAAATAGTAATAGTTTGAAATCAAGTCCGGCGATATTACCATGTCAAATGACGAGGGTCAGATGAAACAGGCACACAAAAATGTCACACTTTTGGACCCCTAATTTCTGGAATTACCCAAAGGCTCTTAGTTTGATTTACTCAGGATCAATGACTTTTTATGACCGCTGTTTAGAAAAAAACTTGTTGAGGAAAAATAAGCATACCAAAACCAGAAAGAAATTGATCATAATGCCAGGCCATAATTCTTGATTTCTCGACAACAGAGGGCAGCATACAGGATTGCCATATCATTGTGCAGCAGTGGTTTGGGTTTCACACTTGCTATGTGCCGGTTTTTATTCTCCATTGCGATTTGAACTTTGATTGTGGCATTTATTGGAACAGATACATGTGCAAAGCAGTCTTTCTCTTATAATCTTTACAAATCAGTTTGCATCGTCGAAAACATAAAAATGCAAGCTGTTCGTCAACTTCTACGTAACATTTTTAATATTCTGATTTACAGGACTTGGTCTGTAACAGAGAAACAACAAAAACTGATGTGGTTTTCTTGTGTAAATACAAATTGTATAATGGCATGTTTTATCGTTCTTGTTTTCTGCAGGGGCAAACACCAGCAGTCAGCTTTGTAAACGGATTTAACTTTGGCAATTCATCCGGTGTCCACCATAACAATAATTTTGTGGCCGGCACCACTATGTCCTCTCAGGTAAGTCTACAAAGCGAAGGCTCCGAACAGGGGACGTTTGCGTGGTTGGAAAGTGTTCGTTTTTCAAAAAGTCTACAACTTTTATTTCTTTCTATCAATCATGGATAGTATCCGTGAAACAAACGGAGCTGAGGACGTAAAGACTTACAGGTGTTTAACTTCGGATCGGAGAACATTTGGCCCTTTAAACTTAATCAAAGAGTCTTTGAAGTGAACTGCTGGCTTCCAAGTCTGTTTTTACAACTTTGAGTATAAGTTTATGACTTGTTTCTGTAAAAACAGTAAATGAAGCTCTTGGAGATTTACTGGTAATTTTTGTAATTGACTTTAAAGAAATACAAGAATGCTTCTGAGACATTTCCTCAGGACTGAATTTATTCATGTAATTGTTTATTTTTTGGCATGTCCAAATTTCCAATTTGATGGAGTGACCACTGAGGAATCCAGCAAATGATCCTGAGTTTTCTCAAGAAAAAGAGGGGGAAAGCAGTTTCAATTTTGCGTATGGAATCAGGAAAGAGCTGAATGGCTTTTTTTCAAACCCAACCAAATTTATTATCCAATTGCTGGATTTGCTTATGCATGCTGTGTTAAACTTCGACCTAGACGAAACAGTGAGTCGCCCATAAAACGAATGCATAAATAATGATTTACTGTGCCTATCACTACTTGGAATTTGCTCCACTCGGTGATATTTTCTAAATACAGCATCTGTGAGGAAAGACAAATGTATTGTGTCTATTGATGTCATTAGATATGATATCATTTGTTACTGTTTGGAGCTTGGCTTACTGACACAAGAGTTCTTGTTTTGTGTTAATGGAAAAAGTTTAGTAATATTTAATAAGCAACCAAGTTTGGGAATACTAATCCTTAAAAACTGAGGATTTCAAATATTTAACTTCTAAGTTCTTGGCATCCAGAAACAATAGATGGGTGTTAGTTTTGTGAAGATGCCGTTTTGGTTGGCATCCTTTTATTGAACTGTATCCTGTTTGAATCTATGGAATTAAATGCCCGTTTTTGCTTCAATTTGATACATTTAGGCTGCAGAACCCTGGTGCCGTTTACAGTCTGCTTGTTGTCCCTGTTTTGATAATCATCAATGAGCCTCTAGTCTGTTTTGATTTGCATGAATTTTGTGTGTGTGGTTGTGTGTTTGCAGACATTTCACACTCCGAGTTTTGGAGACGACGAGTTTGACATTCCACCCATATCGCAAGGGATCGGGGAGAGCAACATCACTACGATGACGGACCACGCATTCACAGCCCAGCCTGTCTCGGAGCCAGTGGGTAGCCAGGCCCTTCCTCCATACCACACGGACTCCATGCACGACCGCAGGGTCATGTCCAGCCCCTCTTCCCTAAACAATCAGACTCCGCCCCCGCTGCCGCCGCAGCAGCAGCACCAGCAGCAGATGCTGACCTCGCCCGTCAATCATGCCAATCCGCCGATGTCGTGCTCCCCGTCGATGTCACAGTCGCTGTCGCAGGCAATGACCTTGCCTTCTCCGACCCATGGCCACACCATGACCGACCCTGCCAACCACTTCCCCAGTGCCATCTCCAACGCGGCCTTCACAGAACCGCTGAGTCACATGACGGAGTCGCTGCCTAACCCGGCCACCACCTCCATGCCAGTCAATCCGCAGTTCCCGCCCCACAACCTGGACATTCCCCCAATCACGGAATCCACCGGCAGCCTCGGTACCATGAGCGACATGCTGCAGCCGTCCCACTCCACGTCGTTCAGCCACGCAGGGCCAACGACCACCCAGATCTACAGCCCTTCCTACCACATGCCCCACGTCTCACACGGCATGGATATGTTCCCCATGGACTCACATTCCGGCCAACACTTGGGCCCGCTCTCCACCATCAACCAGTCGGCGATCAGCTCTCAGCTCGGGATGCACGGCGGACTCCAGCCGGGGCAGGGCATGATGGGAAGTCATCCGACATTAGGAAAAAATCTCGGTCCGGGGAACACAAGGTCCCCACACCAAGAGAGTAGCGAGGACAGTGACGATAACACGCCACTCGCGCAGGTAAAACTTCCTCATGCAAAATTAAATGATTCATGCGGTGATTTGACCTCATACAAAATTTCAGAAGAAAATAGTCCAGCAGCTGAAAATAATATTGGTCTGGTTTTTAGGATTGTGGAATTTTCAGATAAATAATGGAGAGACCTCATTCTGTTGTCATAGCCTCCAAAATTCCAGAAAAATCGTAATTGTTATTTTGTTGGTCATTTAATAATTGATGAAAGTAACTTTGAATTTCTCTTCCTTTCTGCCAATGGCATTATAGTTTGCGGCAAAAAGGCCAGAAAGCAAGGAGACCAAGAAAAAGCCGCCAAAGAGAAAACGCAAGAAGGACCCCAATGAGCCCCAGAAGCCCGTCTCTGCCTACGCCTTGTTCTTCAGGGACACGCAGGCGGCCATCAAGGGTCAGAACCCCAACGCCAGCTTCGGAGAGGTCTCCAAGATTGTGGCGTCAATGTGGGACAGTCTCGGAACCGAACAAAAGCAGGTGGGTTGGCAGTGGGACTTACTCGCAAGTTAGCTTGGAGATTTTCTGTTTCAAATGCCTGGTATCCTGGTCATGTTACACAGTTCTACATGCACGAGTCTGGGAACTAGTGTTAGACCCCTTTTCTCAGATTTGTTGCGTTGCTGGTTTCCAGTAGCCACACATATCTCGGGAGATGCAGGGAACCGTAGATGACATTATCCTAGCTAACTACAGCCCATTCCTTGAGACAACTACGATCTAAGCTAAGGCTGTCGTCCAAACTAAGTTGGAAGGAGGAAGCACGCAACATCATTTAATGTCCTCATGACCACCAACTCACAACACTCTACTTGGATGAGAAAATTGTAAAGCAACCAAATTGTCTGTTTCCTCTATGCTCTGTATTCACTGATTCAGGTGTTTTCTTGTTGTTGTTTGTTGTTGTTGTTGTTGTTGTAGGCATACAAACAACGGACAGAAACGGCTAAGAAAGAGTATCTTAAAAAGTTGGCAGCCTACAGAGCAAGTTTAGTATCAAAGGTAAGTGGCGCAGAAGTGAAGAGGATTCCATTTTGGTCTTAGAAACAATCGGGTGAACTTCCTGCTTCACACCATCAACTCTTGGTTGCTTTACCATATGAGTGAACCGTTTCCATGTCAGTTGCGGATTGAAAGACGTTTTCAAACATTTGCTCCCAAGGCCGCCGTCGACACGACGCAGAGCGAAGAGCAGTCGCCCAGCAAACAGAAGAAGACCTCGGCGGCGCCGGTCAGCACCGCAGCGCCCCCTACCCAGGCCGGGCACGCGCACATTGCCCCTCGAGTCATAGCGCCCAAGCCCGTGGTGACCGGCGTGCCCATCACGGTCACCATGACAACTGCGGGGAAGCCCATGATGCAGCCCGGCCTAAACCCAATGCAGGCGGCCCAGCGGGTGGTCAAGGCGCACCCCATGGTGAGTGCGGTCAGAAGAGGTGCTGCATCACCCCTGTTGTCCCACAAATACCATGCATTAAAGCTTTGTGTTCATAATTACGAGGGCCCTATGCCTTGTGAGTCAACTACATCGTAGGTTTAGTTCACAAAACGGGCCTGACTTGAACCATCGATTTGCCAGCTTGTGTAGAATACAGTGTTTATCAGCCTCGGCAGCTTTCAATCCATGACTTTAGCTTTGCAAATTTTGTGTGCCTTGAAAATGTACCTATTTTTAAAAGGCACTTTGACGCTGCTGTGTTCTTGTTTTTTTTTTTGCGTTGTTCATGCCGATTGCCATAGCCATGAGCAAAACTGTGATGTCATTCCGGGCAGAAAACGTCAAGGATGCACTGATTTTTACACAGAAATCTGAAGGAATATTTGATACCGGTACCTCGCTGCTCTAAATTTCCTTTTCTTTTGTCAATTCATTGCTGTCAGTTTACATGGCAATAAGTCAGTGAGCGGCCAGTTCTTTGAAATGTTTTCCGCAAGCAAATTTGGGGTTCACAGTTTGAGTAAAGAAACATGTTAACCGAGCAGTGTCTTTCCTGATCGACAGTTGTGCAACAGTGCCCTCACTTGTCTGGAAAAGCATGAATAGTTTTAAATGTTTCATAAAGTGTTTTAATTTCATCACACTTAACCCCCGAAAGGATCTCATATTGGTGTTTTTTTTATGTTAAAGGAGAGTATAGAGTTGCATGAAAAATGTAACTAAGAAAACTTAATGACGCCGGTTTGTTTTCTTCTTTCTTTTTTCCCAGATGGGCATCGACGGGATGCCGCCCCACAGTCACCAGATCTGCACCCGAAACGGTTGCAACAAGCCCAGCATCGAGAGTCCCGACTGGGACAACGAGTACTGCAGCAATGAGTGTGTTGTGGATCACTGCAGGTGAGAGTCGGAAACCGTGCATGAAATCGACGTGGTTGTGGTAGAAGGGACAGAGCATAGGGGAGGGGCTAGGTGTCCAACTCGTGGACTGACAGAAAAGTTCCAGAATTCTGGTTGTGAAATAGTTGGTGAAACCTGTCGTGTTTCTGTGCAGTTGTTGTAGAATAGAAAATATCATTGTTCTCATTGTAAAAAAGACCCCAAAGAACTCGATTTGTTTTTCATCTTTTGATAACATTTGGTGTGATGATCATTATTTGTTTTTCAAGTTGGCTGAATTGTCGGAAAAGTATTCCGTTATTTAAAAACACAAGAAGTGTTCCACGAAAAAAAGGTGCATTTTGCAGACCGGGAAACTGGAACTTTTTTGTTGCAGACCTTACAGAAGTGTCTATATTTCCCACATTTTGTTGTGTGCACAGACTACCGAAATATAGGCACGAGTGGACACCCTACGCCTTGACCGGGCCACGATACACAGATGGGAGGGTCTACCCCCATCCTGCCTGGGTCAGAGGTCAGGCTGACCCTTGACACAACCCCACATAGAGGTGGTTTGACCCTCAATCAAATCTTGGTAAAGTTATATATATATATTTTTTTAATGTTTTTACTGTGCTGTTTTCCAGGGAAATGGATAAAATTGTTTTTGCTTAATAACCATCTGGCGCCGTAATACGGGAATTTTTTTCTATATTCATTCGTATTTTTGCACATTAATTAAATGCAGGTTTTCAAAGGCAAGAAAACTATCTTTAAGAATTTCTGTCGTTTCCTGTATCATCCCTCAAGACAACCCATGCTCGGACTCTGAAATCAAACAATTCATGGGTTGGGAATTTTTTTTTCCCCTTCATGTTTACGTTGGCAGGACTTGTGTAAACCCGTGTTATTTGAAACCCAGTGTCAGCCAACTCGCCTCTGACTAAATTTATGAAATTGGGTCGCGGAATTGAAATGACTGAAAACTGACTGAGATGTTCTCTTTTTTGTTAAAACTGGCTTTTACATCCTGTAAATATATTTCCCTAAATCCAATTGTCTGCGTGGATTCTCCGTATGATGTATGAATATCCTTTAGGTACGGCTTATTCCCTTCTTTATTGTGACATGATATCCTTGTCACTGTAACCGTACACGCCATGTAATCAGAGGTAGCCATTAACACAGTCACACCCTCAGCGCCATGTTTTGGCAACACACCTTACCCGCAATCTGCCCATTATGTCTTAAATGTCAGCTTGTTTGGCAGTCGTGCTTGTCCTGACCACCTTGCCTCAGAAAAGAAGATCGTAAAGACTCTTACGTTTTCCCTTCATGTTTTTTTCTAACCTTGCCAGAGATGTGTTCACAGCTTGGGTGGCTTCAAACGGTCCAAACGGAGGCATGCTGCCGTCCGTCAAATGAGACCACCAAGACCAGCGAGCGCTGTAGACCCGTGTGAAGTGTCTCCCACGATGCACCTTAGCAACCCCTCTTTTAATTTTTTTGTCTCTGCGATCAACCAACCCGGCCTGGTTTTCCGGGGCAGCTCGAACCAAGCAGCAGCAACATGGACACTTACCGATGATTTCCCAAAACACTGTAATATTTCTGACGGGCCTGTGTGAGTGTTTGTCACTGTGCTGCAAGTCAGGTGACTTGTTTTCTTCCTTTCGACCAATCAGATGTTAGTTTTCAGAATTGTTGAGCTAGGACACTTGAAAGAGCCGTTCAACCTGTTATTCCCCTGTTCAATTGGCCGAGCCCCGTTCCGATGCTTTTGTAAAATGAACTCCCAACCCTCCCCCCATTAAAAACCCCAAAAATAATAATAATAACCAAACGGTAACAAAAATTTGGAGTGGTAACAAGGATCGCGTATGTAAGTTCTCTTTCTCAGTTCTGATGGCCCATCTTCATCGCATCATTTATGCTGGAAATCTGATTGAATAAGAGGTATCGCAGCCGAGGTGAATGGAAAAAAAAAAAATGAACAGGTCCCACAGGAAAATTTCAACTGTTGCTGGGAAATCATCAAAAAGATGTTAGTTAACAGGAATTTGAGACAATTCTTGAATGACTTTGTAAATGACTAGCAATAATCGAGTAGTTATCTTTGCTAGAAATTGTTTGAAATTTTTTTTCTGGAGTCAGTGGCTCATGTATTGTTCATTGGTAAATTATTTATTTATGGTTGCAAGCAATCATGGGTATATTTTATCATACTATTTAATTTACAGAGTACATTGTTGTCATTTTGGAATTGTAGAATGTTGTATTTAATTTTAGGTGGATGCCATTTCGTACGAAGGGCTCCCTCTAGTGAGGTAGTCTCGCAGAGTTGCGTTCCAACTTCTATAACGGAGTGACAGAAAAATCGATGCACATTTTCAGCTTGAACGCTGGGAAAACTGCCAGTTTTGGCAAAGACCGATATCTTATCGTAGCTTTAACCCTTTCAGAGCCATGCAATATGACCTTGACCCCCAAAGGCCCGTATTCATGGAACCGTCAAGTGGTTGGCTGCATCCGAATCGTTGTCTGGATCTAGGCCTCGGTCTTCACTGCACTGGAAATATGTGGAGACACGCAGACAGTAGACCTAGCCGTAGCTCCGGAAGCTCGTTTCAGACATGGCTGTTACTTGCTAAAGCTTGCTAAAGCAAAACAAATCCGAAGAGAGTCAGTCTTATTATGTACAGCTTTGGCTGGTAATCCATTTTTGTCGGACAACAGTTTCTCCTGCACCCCCCCCCTGCATGCTTGAAGAGTCGGATCTGAATGTTGATGAAACAATCCTTACATCCTGCATTCAGAGTGTGTGAAAACGTACGTACAGCCAAGGTACCAGACACATGCCACTTTGTATTTGTGACATCTTTCTGTGGAAACTTTCAATCTTTACTGTCAAAGAAAAAAATATGTGTCTCTTTCCAAACTCGGCAAACAGTGTCATTCAGTTTATACGCGAAGATTTGCGAGAGGTCATTTGTGAATGTGTGAGAAATTTCAAAGAAGCGCACATGTGTCCAAAGGTTAAAGATCTATGAGAGTGGCCTATGTCTATGTTAAGTTTTCTCTCACAGAGTTTATTGAAAAGGTTTGAAATTTCTCTCGACGGCTTGTAATTCAAAAGGCTGTCCTATGTATTAAAGAACAAGGCAACGAATCTCTTTGTTCTTTGTCACGTTTTCAGTGGAATCTTGTACAAGCATTCTGTCAGCAACCCATGTTTTGTTTCTCACATAAATGGCCAGTGCGTACTGGGTGCGGAAGCGAATACGAATGTGATTTTGTGATATCAGATCAAAAGTTTTTGCTGTGAATTTGTACAAGTTGAACTTATTTCAACTCAAGTGAAATGTTTGCAACATCACCTTGGCTTCGTTTTTGCAGTTGCTTGAAGTATAAAACCAGCTTTAACGGATGTGTGTAGGTTAAATACGCAGCAACATCACAGGTGCGCTTCAGTGGTACTGTATTGTTTTGTACATGAAGCCCTCATTTGGTGGAAATGGAAGAGTGGCAGACAAATTGTGATGACGTTGTTTATTAATTCGGAAAATGCAAGCTGTTCTTTTTTCCTCTCTTTCTCTTCTCAGATGCTTAAGATCCAGTGGATGTAATTCTGTGAATAGGTATCCGCTAATCAGGTTGTCAAAAATACTCATTTATTCCACCTTTGCAAGAAAATGGTTCCTACTGCAGTCCACCGAGGGCGCTGTGGCATTTTCATGGTACACAGCCAAGGGAAATTAAACTACACAAGCATCACACTTTGTTTTGAAATTTTGAAAGTTTAGTGATAAATACCCCATGAACATGAGAAATTGGCATACATGCACATGAGTGAAAAGTGGAGGTCTGTGCTCTTCTTGAGAGTTACAGCAACTTTACATTCTGTGATCAGGTTTAGAAAAAAAGCAGAGGGAGTTTTTCACGGATGACCGCAGTCTGTGCCAGACTGGTGCTGTTTTGTCGTCACCAACACCATAGTTTTCTGCAGCAAGCTCTCGTGGAACACCAACACTGTGTCCGTATAAAGCATTTGGGTCTATGGCTAAGCAGAAGAGATTCTGTCATTTCTAAAAAAAAAAAAAACCTGTCTTTCCAGAACAAAGTCCTTTAAAATTACAAAATTATTTCAAAGAACAAAAAATTGGAGACATTTGAAATATGTCCGCTGCATCAGTGGAATCGTAGCATTTTTATTTTTCAATTTCTTCAGATGTGCTTAATATAGACTTTTTTAAATTGAACATGACTTTTTAAAAATCCTGTTCTGCTTATACATATTGCTTAAATCATAAGTTTTGGGCCTGTAATTATTGTACATAAACTAATTTCTTTTTGTATTGATGGATAAAAACCTGCCCTCTCCAGAAACCAACTTCTCCTTGAAAACAAAATTCTCAAATTGATGTTCATTATTGTATTTTTTTGTAGCAAGTTCAAATCTGAAAACAAAAAGAATACTGAAAAAAAACCTTGTGTTGTTCTGTTGTCTCCGACATTAAAGTTGCTCATTGCTGGGTGACAGTTGCCAAGGCAACTAAGTGTACAGACCAGGATGAAAGTGAATATTTTATGTATTTTCTATTGAATTTCCAAAGTTAAATTATTGAAGTGCACTTTGTCTGTTACCACAATATTTAAACAAAAAGTAATAAAACATTTCCGTATACAGTACCATGCAAAGCAGGTGTCACGGTTCCAATGTGTGGTTTTTTTTAATATGAGCGATCAACTCTGTTTATAGAGGCATTTTGATTTTGCTGAGATGAATTAAAACATCCACTCAATATCGCAATTATTTTCTGGATCTCAGTGGACGAAATCCGAATACGATGAGAGTGGATTTTCATGGTCAGCACGAAAAAGTGCGCGGGTGTATGTGCGCACTTGGCTCCGAATCTTTACACAGCAAGGCGCTGGTAAACTTCGGTCAGGCCGACGGACAAAACACCACGAGCTTCTTGTCACCAAGTATGTCCGTCGTGTTGGGCTTGTTCGCTCTACTCCATCCTGAGTTGATCTGCCTTTGAATAACATCCATTCATAAGATAATAACTCAGGGGAGTACGATAAATTTGCGCAAGGTTCAAGATTGCGCTTAACATTTTTAAAAATTTCTCTAAGTCGTTGGAATCGTTTTGGTCTGGAAACCAGACCGAGTTTCGGCACCAACGGTTTTCGAGAGGGTTTTCTTGGGAGAATGATGACTTCTGAACGGCTTTTCTCAGATGTGGGGCTAAATTTAAATTTAGGGACTTTGTACACGCTTGGTGTGGAACGTAATTGAAATAGTTCCCTAAAAAGCGTTCTCATGTTGTCTTCTTTTTTTTGGGGGGGGGGGTGGCCTTGTTTGCTCCTGGATCTTTCAATGTCCATGTCTATGTGCGTACACGAATCGTACGTGTTACACGTTTACTTCGTAGCACAGGGGCGTCACTGCACAGTGGCGCAGCCAAGGTGGAAAGGAGGGACCCTCCCCCGTAAAATTGGAATGTTTGGAGGAGGTCCTGTTGCCACGCCATCTTTAGTGTTTTGATATATGCGCTTTGGTGTGGACACAGACCTATTAATAAACAAGATTCTTGCCCTTCTCCCCCAATGCCCTCCTCTGAGAGCAGATCCTGGCTACACGACTGCGGGGAGGGGGGGGCGTGTTCCACAACGGTTTGGAATAGACTATGAACTTTCCTGTCTAGAAATGGTTTTATTGCCAGTCTTGACAGGTGAGTAGTCTTCACACATTGTGGAAGCTCCCTCTGCTGAAATACTGGACTTTGCTTCCCCCTTTAGGAAAAAGTCCTCCAGATCCACGATTATAGCCTTTATTCAACTCTGCTTACCCCAGCCTTCCATTGCTAACATCCCCACGTTGATGTACGCTGTTGCACACTCAGCAGTAGATGGCGCTTTTCTTTGATTGGCAGCTTCACGCCTGCCAAATTAAGTTAACTCTCCTTTGGATTTTTTTTATATTGAGCGTCAGCGCCCGCACACTCAACGCGGCCATTCCGATGCACGGAGATGTGATAAATCGGTCGATTATGCGTTGTATGCGCACGTCCCCGAATAACACATCCGTGTGCCATTTCGGCCGGGATTGCTGACTTGTGAGAGCCCACGAGATTGTTATTATTAAACCATCTCACTAACTAGGAGGCTCGCGCCTGCCAATCAGCCCCGAGGGACGTTGACTAAAATCCCCAACTCCGGGGAACAAGATCGCCTCGCATCCCTCAGACGGAGAGCTGACTGCAGATGACATGTGGATCACATGACCAGCTCCCCCGATCAATGACAACCTCATCATCGGATGTGTACACTGGAGTAAAGCAAATCGCTTCTCTTTGGCTTCAGAAGCAGAGGTAACAGGGGATGGGAGCGTAGGGGGAGTCTAGGAAGCCAGGCCATGAACGGAGGCGGGCAGGAGTCCTTGATATTCCAGTCATTCTAATAATCGGGCGATGAGGGTCAGCGCTGTGGACGTTACAACGGTGTGTCGCCCTATGCTGCCTTCACCGCTGGAGAACCTACCTGCGAGATTTACCGCGCAAAAGAAAGAGACCCTGCCTGGCCATTATGCACACAGCAGTACAGCATTGACAGTTGGTTACGCATCGGTTGGTGCATATGATTTTAATAACCCAAGAGGAAAAATATTAACCCTTTAAAATGAGATGCGACGATCGTGTCTAGTCTGTGCGCATGCAACATCGACACAGGGTACAGTGATGACCTCCAGTTTGTCGCCCGCTACAATGCAGGGCTGGAGCTAGATGGGCTTTCGTCGCTTAAGGGGCGCAGATGCACGGAGTATTGCGCCCGGTTACGCTGTCGTGGGGACACTTCGATTTGCCGTGGTGTGTGATTATCTGACGCCGTTATCGGCTGCAAGATTCCGTAGAGTGGCTTCAACTATCCCCGCCGCTGGCCTGACGGATGAGTAAACAACGGCAAGAGAGGCCTGGGGAACGCGACCCACCATAGCCAGGGAGAATAACTTTCCGGCTCTAGCCCTCATCAATAAAGATTTACAGAGTCGTTGTTCTGCTACTGACTTGTGCAATAGGTCTGTCGGGGATGTGGGGGAAAAAAGCTTGAGAGTAACTGACGCCCTGTCACCATTTTAGGCCGCAATTCACAAGACTTCCCCCTGCTTTTGTCTGACGATCGGCCGATCAACACTCATCGAAGTTTAACGGTTTGACAGTAAACCTTTTCGAATCAAGGAGTATGCTTCGACGTTTATGAAATTGGTCATGGATCCAGAACCCTACAAACGACGTTCTGTGTTGTACCTGGGGGTCAAATGTAGACGTTGAACCAATACGCCAAATTTGGAGGGTAACACTTCAAAGATAACCAACAACAAAGTGGTCCCATGCTGCGAACAATAATGATAGGCCTAATGTACAGCATCTGGTGGGATCTGATGTCGATGAGTTAGGTGAGTATTTTTTGAAAACATCCTCGGCACGACCCGAAACCGGAATTTGTATGTGGAATGGTGCAGCTTGAATAACTTCGTTGGTTCTGTTTACTCCCTCTGTGCCCTTTAAAGTTTAGTTTCGATTCTGCGACCGAAACCTGATTATCGACTAGCGAATGAGGAAATCAACATAGAGTGACTCTTTTGCGTTCATGATTCGGACACATGGCCGTAAGTAAGCGATACGTGTAGCCATCAACCAGCATGCAGGATCACTCAAGAGTTCGTTCGTTATCACTAGACGACATCAATGTTGGTATGTCATCATCATCATTATCAGCGGCAACATCAACAGCAGCGTCTTGCCGAAAGGGGAAATCCTCCTCAGTTGATGATGACAGACAGGACAATGATGTCACGGAGGAAGGGGAAGGACGGGACAGAGATACACTGGGAGAGTTGGAGTCACCAGCCATCGAGAATTTACAAGACCGGTTGCTGGTGACGCCCATCCGGTGGCAGATGAGGTCGGAGGCAGCCGTGGCTCCTACCGGCTTGTACCGGAGAGACAGTGCGCCGGCTACCTTGCTGCAGAAGGAGGACTCCATCTCCAGACGGTGCTCCAATCCCGCCCTGCTGGAGACTATCGAGGAAGGCCAGGTCAGCTGTCGTAGGAAGAGCACCCCGGCCGTCATGACGCAGGGCCTGGCTCAGCAGAGAGGGAGGGGCGGAGGGGCGCACCTCAGCCCCAGGCGGGCCCTCTTGAAAGCCGTCTCCGCCCCTGGCTCGGCACCGGCCAGGAGGCGTTCCATGCCGGAGATTTCCACCCACCAACGCAGCCCAGTCATGCTGGAGACATTCTACCCACCTCCAAGGAGGAACAGCCTCATGTCGTGCTCTCTGGCTGAGGTGGCGGCGCGGTTCGAGTTGCTTAACACGAACTCGCGGGTGCCAGAAGAGAGCGAACTCTTGGAGAAATCAAGAGCCGGGTACGACAGGAGTAATGGCTCAGGGGTTTCGTCGAGTCATAGTCTACCACCGATAACCTCGTAACATCTTGAGTTTGGACTACTTCATAATCTTTGCTTAGCGGAGACCTGTGCATTCAAATTTTAATTCGCCACTTCCCATGTCACATGCCTCAGAAACTGGGATAATCTTTATCCAGCCTTTGCTGGCTCCTCTCTGCCCCCTTTAATTAACACATGTACCCAGTTTTCCCTGTGTAAGGTTCTTCGGGTTAATTCAACCGAAGTGCTTATTAAACGGGACTAGAGTGACGATTATGTGCGTGTAGCGTTTGCGAAGGTTGCTGTTGTTAATTGCAAGAGACAAATTGGCCGACTACAAGTACCACTTTGCACAACATCGTGGGTCCCACCACGCTTCTTTCTGCGACCAAGGCGTCCCACGTGACTAAAAGGGTACATTGAGCATTTATAAATCAACTGAGGCGATAAACGCAAGAACGTGACACGGCATTTAAGTCCAAAGTGTAACATCCAGTAAAGCGATAAAAAATGGACCAATAAGTCACAGCGACGAGTTACTCACTTAGTCCGTTGCTAGACAAGGCAATTTTTTTTGAATAGGGACATGTAAACCCTACCATCGAATCGAATGCACAAGCCTCCTCAGTGAGATTGGAAATTAGTGCTTTTTCAGTTCTAAAAGTGCACTGCTTTCCCAAACTGGCGCTATTGATGTAGGCCTATATGACATTATGAATATGTAGCAATAATGCAAAACCTTTGTTATTCAAATCTACAATATGAGAATCCTTAATGTTAAATAATGAAGTTAACTCATTAGGAAATAACCCAAATAATGCGTCACTGCGCCCTATATTAGGTTGGTATAGCCTGGTACCTGTTTCCTACAAGAGAATATACACAGTGATAGCATGACGAGTTAGTTCTTTCCCTCTGTACAGTACCCAATACACCCACAGAAATCTCCCCCCACTATACAGTCTGGTAGCCTTTAGTATCGATAAACAGTTTTTGCAATTTCAATGCATGTTCACAGCATTCCCAATGCACCAAAATAAGCAGTTACAGTGTGTATAAATTTGTATTCGAAAAATCATCCTTAAAAAGGAATATGCGGTATGGCGTAAGTGTGGCTTCATAGTCGTAATTTATGTGTGCGAATGCTAACCACAGTCACAATGCTCTAGCAAAGTGTAGATTGAAATCTAATATGCATACATACACAATATAATGTTAGCCATTTTGAGTGCATGTCGTTTATGTGCGCAAGCGCAACACGTGTACCAAGCACCGTTTCCATGTAGATCGTATGTTGCAAAGTAAACGCTTTTGTTACCGCAAATTTCTTTCTATTTGCTAATTCAAAGTAATAAGTTTCCTGCAGGGAAATGCTTTATACGACAAATATTCATTGCACCCCCCCTCCCATCTGGTAGGCACGGGCGTCGCTAGGGGAAGGGGGGTCGGGGTGTCACAACCCCATTGGTTAGTCTTGTCGGCAAAATCATGGTCTGTCGGCAAAATAAAAACCGTTATGTAGGTGTCGGGGCTTGGGAATCAGACTATAGTGCGCTCGTTTTGCATGACGGTGCGTCGGCAAATTTCATTTGGCACACGCCCGTGCTGGGTAGGTCTACTCGCTCCACCCGCCGAGAAGTCAGTGCTGATAAATTTGTGAATGAATATTTCGGCTCAGTAACGTCATAACGTGTCCTTGTTGGTAGTCTTGATTTCGAAACATCCTTACCATTATAATGGATTTGAATTGATTACTTGATGTAAAATGCTGGAAGGTGTCACTTTTCTGATAAAGTAACCCTTTAAAGTTCATCCTGTTGGTATGTGTTCGTTATTTGAATGCCAACTTGCATAGTGGTTATAAATTATTCGAATTCTCAAAGCCAAGAGCACTCCTATATAAACAGAGGGGTATTCATTACTGCTTAGAAAATGTAACCCATCATTCAAAACTAGGCTGAAGTAGATAATTTTCCCCCACTGCTGGATCTTATACTTCAAAGTTATCCAAAGTATTAAAAAAAACACGATGTCTGCAGAAAACATTGGTAATTTTACGGCAATGAAATTTAAAAGTGTTGTAGAGTTTGCATTGTAAATGTGCATTTATCATTTTCCAGATAGCTCGTAACACACAGGGCTACTGTCGTTCTTCAGGGTTTGGAATAGTGGGCCACAAATGCAGAGTGCATCCTTAGCCTGTAGCCTGTTTTTTTCATAATACAGTCAACAATTTGGGTTCAAGAGCATAAATATGCCAATCGAAAATCGTTTCCCCTCCACAGAGGACTCCCTCTGCCCCATTGGCATGCGCAACGTTTTCTCTACAACACGCCCGCGCACCGACCCATTCCCTCTTTGCAAGCAGTTCGTCTGTGGCCGTACATTAATTTTACCTGGCGGTTCGTGTCGCGGATTGTGTTCCGCCGAATAAATTCTGCACACGTTTCCTTCCTCCTAACAAAAGAGAAAAAAGAGGGCGCAAGAAGGAAAAAAACTGCAGCGTCTTGCCCTGCCAATGTTCGAACCATTTATCACAACATTTCGAGAACTGCCTTCCAGGTATGGTGCGTTTAAAGGTCACGCCTATATATAATGTACGCCATATCTGTTTTTCATTTGCATGCATACAGAGAACAAACCTTGACCATAAAGCCATAAAAACAACACGTACATTCAACGGTCAATACACTTTCCTCTCTAAATGAAATACACGGATGATTTTAGGATATTGTGACAGTCGCATCTTTTCCAGGAAGTGATTTCCGATAAAATGGATATTTCACTATTTTTGTTTTGCTCTGTGAACAAAACTTCCAAGAATTTACCCTCTTTACCAACGTTGGGTTATCCTTTAGCTGTTGTCAATTATTGGTTTCATTGTGTCCAATACCGTTTTTAATTACCATGGTAAAAAACATCAGTAAAATTTTCGGAGGAAATTGAAATAGGTTGTCCACATAAGAGATACTAAAATATTGCGGGTTGGAAAAGGTATATACTGGTCGTATCTGGATTTGGATTCTAGCTTTCAAAGTTTTTTTATCATTTCAATTTTATTTTCTACCAAATATTTAATAGTGTAGGCCTATACGTTCCTGTTAAGTAATAAAGCTCAGAATTATAACATAGCATTTTAGGTATGTTTTATATTGGGCCCCCTGCGCGCATAAAATTGAACTCATTTGCACTGTCTCTTGAATTCTCGTGAAATCTCGATGACAGCTTTTTCGATCTTGTGTTGCTATTTATTAGACCGCGTTTTCATTACAACAAATCATTCATGCAACGTTCATTATGGCAAAGTTTGCGTCAGCTTACTTTTGGGGGCAAACAAGACGACGAATTTGCTGTTAAAACGTTTGAAATTATCCTACACGATTCATGATTTCTTTCACTACGATCCGGCAATGAATATCGGAATTTATTACTTTCGATTTTGGCCATCTTTATTCTTTAAAATGGTCGTCCCTCTTGCTGAATCATGGCGTCTATTAGCTGGAGCGATCCTCGCTGGGAAGTCATCCCTCGCATTCGTCAGGGGATCTTTTTCCAATAAGCCCACGCTGGCCTTAATGCGAACCTCATTGTCTGGGGCTGGATCTTAATATGTTCCGGTGCTGAATATCACAGTCACGACCGATGGGAAATTAGGCCACCGTAAAATGTTTGGTTCTCAATTTGAGTGGTTTAAAGGAGTGGTTTAAAGGAACGCTCTGAATTCTTATCGAGCACAGATGCAGTTTGTCTAGGTGTGCACAGCAGGTTAGAAATATTGTGTTTAAGTTTAAACTGCATAAAAATTTAAAGACACAAAAATTACCGTTAAATTGAAAATCCTCAATAACATAGGGGCCTATATACACATACTATTTACACATAAACCTCAATACAATTTATATAGAAAAGATGTAAATAAAACACATACAAAAACACCTAAAATCAATATAATCGAGCAAACACCCCCGGCGTGCATTTTATGATAACATAAACTCCTGAATTTAACATGTTGATTTTCCTTGCTATATGATTGCACTAGGCAAAGAGAAATTTCTGTAGTGACTGGTTTTCGGATATAGATACTGTGTATAGGCTATAGGCCCTCCCCCCAAAAAAACAGCAGTGCGTAAATGATTCTAAACGAGGTATAAAGGGAAAAATTCCATTTATGGTCCTAACTCGGGTCTGAAACAACGTGGTTTTTTAACATTTTTCAGATGAAAAAGGAATGATGTGTCACGGAACGTGCACGTGTCACTGTTCTTCAAGTTTCCCCCCGCCACGACACACCCCTTTAAAAACCGATTCAATGTCTCGTCGCGTTATGTCTCAACCGATTTGCAAAATGTCAACGTCGTTGGCATCGGTGTGTGCGCGGAGGCGGTTCCCGATCCGTTTCGCCCAAATGTCGACTCGATCGGTGTCCTTGCCTCGCAAGCCGAATTAACTCGAGTAGAAATGGAATAATTTAGTTTCAGTCTTTGGAGTCCCTGTGGAATTGTGGACGTTAAGTTGGCCATCGTGATCCGGGTTTCACTGCAGTGGGCATGGCGTCGTTGCTTTGTGGTTCACTGATTCTTATATTCCTGCGCCATTTTCAACCATCAAAACTGTCTTTTGTTCGCGCGTTGTAGTTGCTGCTTCAAGGATAATTCATAAATAAATACTTCATAATCTCATACGTTTACGTAAAAGCTTATACCAGATGGTTGACAAATATGCATAAAAAGGTTAGATCTGGTATCTAGCTTGGTTTGAACTTCGTGTGCACTGGTATATAACCCGCCATCAGACTATTGCATGACATACAAATGCCGACATGACCAACGTAGATAAATCTCTTAATATCGAAATGTCATCACATTCTGCACTGGGCTTGATCATTCATTCCCCAATAAAAAGAATGCCATAAAAATTCATCACTTTTAAAACGTCTGCCAGCGACGTAGATTCCTGAGGAGCAGATAGGTCTAATGTAAATGTGGCGAGCCTCCAGTAATTGAAAAGAAAATGGACAGATTGAGTTTAGTGATTTCATTTCAGTCCATACGACGGAGTGGTGACAAAAATAACTCCTAAACATTAACTCAGTAAGTTCGGAGGGTCACCCACGCCTAATTTATACATTACAAACATGTTTAAATCACACTTATAAACCAGAAATTATAATGTAAATTACCCGTAAAAGCTTGCTGTTTGGGACGGTCATTATGGCCAACCCAAGCATAAAATATTGAAACAAAGTCACAAGGGGGCTCTACTGAATCAAGGAACGCGAAATATTAACGTAGGTTGAATGAAACACTTGGAAAAAAAGAACGAAACAGAGACATATCGGCATTTCTGACATGCTGTTCTTGTCGGACTCATCACTTCCGGATAATGAATATGAAACGTAAGACCGACATTCAAACTATAATGCAATTAAGATAATTGCAAATATCTAATAACCCTTCACTGCCCCCCCCCCGACTTCCGTTTCCGGTGTTATTTTTCGCGTGGAATAACAGCCACTTTAAAAGTATATTTTAACAATAGTCCAGGCGAACTTTGGAGTGTAATCACTCAAATAGGGTGAAGTTGTCAACTCCAGGAAATGGAAGTCTAATTTCGTTCAATTCAGTCGCGAATGTTTGGTCCCAAGAAGGAAAATACGACCATTTCAAAACGCCCCACAATCCAACATTTGTCAAACTGAATTTACAGAGTGGTAAAAAAGGTCGGGATTTGCTTTGATGATGCGGATTTCATCAATATTGCAATGAACTACTCACCCGTGTCTCCCGTATAGTTTGTCTGCCGTGGATACTAGAACAGTTTTTCCTTTCAAAATTAATTCCGGAGATTATCCCTGAATGTTAATATTTTATGAACTACAGGAAACTATATTTCTTTCTTTCGTGTACAATATCAATTTGATAAATATTTTGGTTCTGACTCAAACATAGAGTAAGCCCTTTCTGAGCAATGTACTCTCTGAAATAAATTCTTTAAACAAGGTCGTCACTTCGTGTGCTATTTCACTTTTGAGTTAAACTAAAAAATGTACAAGCTTGTTTCCTTGTACATGAAACAGTCATCAGCATTTCCAAGTAGTCCGGATGGCGCAAAATTTGTTTTAATAATTACAAACGATACATATATAGGACTCAAATATTTTTTTGGGTCGGACGTTCGGATCTGGATGTTTAAATGCATTGCTTCTCAAATCGCGTGAATGAAAACGGGCAAAAGGAAGCGACAAAGGGACGCCAAAGTAAGTTCAATCGGTGAACGTAATCGAATCGTTAATTATCTAGAAAAATATCCGGCGGTTGGTGCATCCAATTGGGTGTAATTTTCCGAAAAACCTGCAGTATGGGCCTCTCACAACGCGTGAACCTTCTTCTTTGCGAGTTACCCAGAAATTGGTTTTTACTGGACAAAACGTTTCGGGTTAACTTCGGTGACCTTCTCTAAGATGGCCGACGTCTTCTGAGTACCGTTTGCATCTTGTCCAGGCATGACCAGCTTTACAAGTTCTGCGGCGCCCCGACGCTGAGTTATATCCGTCATCGTGGTCCACATGCAGGTCTCGTCTTTCTGGTCGCGCCGTGCTGCGCATCGATGCAAACCCTCCAGTTCACCCTGAAAAATGAGCCGGAAAAAAACACTTTAGACACGCAAAAATAACGGGCTAATTGCAGTGCCTTGCCTATACATCTCTTACGATTATATCATGAACAGAGAAAAGGGCATGTCGTTTTATGCCATGAACAATTACGAGCAGAATTCTGCTGTATTGAAGAAAGTCTCTTTTTTTTTTAATGAAGTTTGGTGAGAAAAGTACAGATGGCTGCATGGAGCTGTTGAACGCGATCCTGGCAACACACTAGCTAAATGCAAGTCGCTTCGCTAACTACCAGCCGTTCTTATATGGTGAGAAACGTGTGCATAGTGCCTTTCATAAATACCGCGTTGTCAAGTGCGTAAGTCTCGAAAGAGACGGATGAGTTGAAGCGGATGACAAAAAATCTATTTTTCCCGCGGATATTACACAAATAATGAATACTTATGAGTACAGTGGAAAGAATAATTTCATGGGGTGACAGACGAAATGTTCCATTTGACAAGGTGAAGCCAAGTGGAATGGAACATTTCGTCTGTCTTCTCATGAAAATATTCTTACCACTGCACAAATATAAAACATTCATTGTTTGTTTACAATACCCGCATCATTTCCGCTTCGCGTTAGGAGAACAAACGACCCTCAAGTATTAAAGTGTAGCTGCAATGAGTTTTCCTTAGACACAATTTTCCTGCAACTTTTTACTCTTCTTTTATGTATGAAAACTCTTTTATTTTCCTACTTAGTTAAATGCACTGAAAAGGGCACTTTTTTATACCTTTAAAATCATCCATGCTTTCCTGAACGACTGAGGGCGCTGTTGCTTTGACGTCATCCAAGGAAGACATCGTTCAGTACATATAGGTTTTCTGTTCAAATTGTGAACCCCAAATTAACTTATATACACGAAACGGAGGCGGGAACCAGTCAAGTGAAATGAAGTTCTAATCAGCGAGTACCGAAGAATAGATCAAATAATTAAGTGACGTGATCAACGATCCACCAATCAGATGACGAGGATTTATATGCATGTATTGCATAATAAACAATTATTTGGGTGGTTATTCTCATTTTATTTCGTCAGTCACTTTCTTATAATTTGACACAGTGTAGCCACTATCTTGTTTCAAACCTTACACTTCTAAAGCCACTTTCATAAATATATCTATAGTAATTTTAGTGCATAAAATCGATCAGGCGGGGAAAAGGGTGTTTTATCTCCTTTGGGCGAAGCGCGCGGCTAGATCACTCCACCGGCCAATATTGCTCTCGCGCGCCAAAATAAGACGTTCATACAACATGCATGATCCCCATTGTGACTTATTAATACACGGTAGATGCATACGTGCGTGCAAGACCTGCAGCTTATTCGGCTGAATATCCAAATTGAAACTGTCATGCAGAGTGCCTTCTGTGGTACACGATGCTGAAGCTGCTAAGTTGGCAATATACTTAGCATGCCTTCATGTTGACAGTGCTATATTTCCTTCTTAGCAGCATCAAATGGCCACGCTTGTCCTCTAATATCAAAGGATAAAAAGTGGTCAAAAGCTCACACAAAATAATTTTCTTTTTTTCATATCAAATACATGTAC